CCCCCCCCCCCCAACAAATTTTGCGTTTCAGTTTCTCTTGGGACGGCTGTAATACCCAAGAGAAACGAAAAACAAAAGTTGCGCAAAATTTTGGGGGAAAATAAGGTGCATTATGGAAAATGTGGAAGTGGCTTTTGCGCTTTCTGCTTGATAAAATTTACTCTCGATTTTCTTGCATGTTTATTAATCCTCTATGATTTTGTATCAAATAATATTTGAAATATCTACTCATATTTAGTTATTAGCTAAATAATAAAACCACTATTCTAGAAAAGTTTGCCAGTCAAGCTTTTATTTCCTCATAACGAAAAAAATAATCGTAAATTACCGTATATAACGGCGCAATAATGATAAAATTCTTTATGATTAATATATAACTTCTTTCTATGATATGCAAAACGTATATACAATAACGAAATAGCAAAATTTTAAGATTAAAAACAGATATAATTCGCGCGTGGCTCGATATGGAGATAATTTCTGCAATCTCGTTCCAGGGTTTCTCCGTTCTTCCCGTCCCTTGAAAGAAGAGAGACCCTGGGTACAAGGTTGGTCCAACTAAAGCAACAAAAACGTGCAACTTGTTTTACAACATTGCAGCGAAACGAGTCAAACGCGATGTTGCGCGTTTTACTTGCCACGTTCAACCCTGTCTTGCAACAAATCAGGTTCTTGCAGGCTGCACAAATGTGTTGCAGAAAGTCCAGCGTAGTTCTACTTTTTGCAATAAAATCTGTATAATGTTGCGCGTTTTACCGGCCCAAGGCAAACTCGTCTTGCAGCAAATGGCGTAACTGCGTGTATGGCGTTACTCCTGCTTAATTTTATCCGATCACTTAAGTCAGTATTAACGCAATTTGCAACAAGCTGATTTGTTGCAAAACAGGTTTGATCCGTGAGCGGTCAACTCGTGTACAGCAATGTTGCAAGACAAGTCGCACGTTTTTGTTGCCCGTTTACTTAGCCTAACTGTGAAATGAGTGTAAATATAAAAGACAGCCGGAAAAATTATACTATAACAAATGATATAACAATGACCAGCATCTTATATTTCTTCTTATAAAATCACTGCTTAAGCAAATGAAAAAGACAAAAGAATAGACAGAAATGAACACCAAGATAAATTATGTCTTGATCTTAACAACCTCTCCTTATCCTTCCAGGAACATTTGTAAGGGAAACAGTGTAGAAGGTATGCATGTTCACACTAGGTAATGAAATGAACCGCCAAAATATAAAATTTTACTTACGCAACAGGGATTTAACCCTTAATAGAGTGACAATTTGTATTAGCGAATTAACAAAAAACCGAGCGCACAAAAACTTTAGCCTTCAGTAGCTGGCGGAAACCACGGCAAGTATTTTAGGATGAAAGAGATTAGAATTGCTTTTAAAGAGAGACGTATTTTCGGCGGTCGCTTCTCTCCGTTACTAGGGACCTAGGGACGGTCCGACAACGGCGACGTCCATGAAAACGTCCATGAACAATGGACTTCGCATCCTTTCACTTTTTTTCGCGATTATCCCAGGTCGCCCAGCTACTTAAGAAGAAGGGAATTTAGGTTGGAGATGAAGAGAGGGCAAGGCGCCCGACCTCAGACAGAGATGGTAGAATTTCTCGGCTTGCCGTTCCCGTTCTCGAGTAAACTTAAACTTTGGTCATTTCACGTCGTAGTTTTCGACGGAAACGAAATGTACAAAACAGCGTCATGCACATGCAGAGTTGTTGTTTTGCTCATTAAACTACTTGGGTATTGCATTTTTGACGTTCCCGTTGCCGTCATGGTCGTGTTTTCGTACCGCCGGAAACACGTCTCCGTTCGCAGGCCAAGACTGCAGCGAACATGCATATATATTTTCCACTATCGCTTTCAGTGAATGAGTAGGCAATTTTTTTCGACGGAAGTTTTGCTTCAGGGAAGAAAACTTATTCTTAAACGGCCAAAAGGTTCGAGAAAACTTGCAAGTCCTCGAGCTGATTTTTGATTGGATAATTGAGAAACGAATTAATGCCGGTCCTCGCCCGCCGAGCGGACAAACAGTGCCATTTATAACTAAAATTAACTATACAAGTTACCTTACAAGCATTCTTATTAAAATGATATAAGTATCTGAATAATTTTTTTCTGATAAAAATATCTTGTAATTTCAAAATGATTCCTGACATTTAAAATTATAGATATATTAGGATAAGAAGTCCGTGACATTGTTCGCGTGACTGACCGAGCGTCACGACAGCGCTTCGTCACCGCGTCATTTTACAAGGATATTACCTTACATTGTGGTTGCTTTCGTCAACTCTTTCACCCACCTAAGACATAAAAGAATTTATAAATAATCTGTTCTATGAAACAGGCTAGGGACTGTGTTTGAATTATAACGTGGTTTAAAGGCGAGACACTGGCATTGAAAGCGGCACAGACATACAGACTTACTTTACTTTCCTTTACACGAAGTGCAAAACCCACTTCAAGAAAAACTCCAAAATTTAACTTGGTGAAAAAAAAAGTAGTTTAAAAAGGTGGTAATCATGGGAATATACTGAATGCCAACAGCGTGTACAGTTCGAAAAAAACCCATCCAGCCTTTTTTTGTTACAAAACAATTTAACAGCTAAAGGTTTATTGCGGGCGACAAGAGGAGCCTGCAATCCTAATCTCCAGGTTGTTATTGCGCATGCGTCGCATGTATGTAGTCAGCATTTGTTTGGACTTCCACTAAGAATGAATGGAATGCAGAGAACGCAATTTGATCACGCGCGTTTGGACCTTTTTTCACTCGTAGTTTGATCACGTGTGTTTTGACCCTCTGTCACGTGAAACTTACGCAACGCACATCGTTGGAGCAAAAGCGTTTTGACCTTCGATCGTTGCTGCCCGCACTCCGTAACCTTTAGTTACTATTAGTCTAATAATTACCTTTTTGCTGAAGTTTCGTTGTCTGCTTTGAATACAATCGGTGGTACACCTTTATGTTTTAAGTGGAACACAAAGTCATCCCCTTCCTATGAAGAAATATCGTGAAAATTGCCCGCTATCATTTCCTTCAAATAAACTGTAGTGCAGCCCGAGCATCCGGCTTCTTTAGGGTGGAAGGGGGTGAGGAAGACCGAAAGGGGGAAGAGGAGAAGCAAGCTGTCCTTCAACGTCTGTTTTTATCCCTAACCCTTAAGAAATTCCCGATATGCCACTTAATTGTATGGCTACAATAGTACGCAGGCTGTGATTGGCTGTTTTCTAGTAATGACCGGGTATTTCTGGCTAAGTGTCCAAGGTAGTGGACAACCTGATGGACATCCATTTTATGGTCAATTGACAGTTGTCAAAAAGGGTATCCGCTGACCAATGCCATCCGGCTGTATCGCAGGCTCAAGTGTACAACTCATTGAGGTGGCATGTTTTTTTTTTAAGTTATCCACCGACCAGTTGTTGGTTTTAATTGATCGCAGGTTCAGGTCCATGATGAAAAGGCCATATAATACGTAACTTATTAACCTCGTAATAAGCGTAGGGTAGGTTGAGCATCTTATAATAATATTTAGACGCCAAACGCCAAAAGCGAAGCTCTCATAGGAACTTTTAGTAATATCTTTAAGAAGTAAAGTTTTCTGAGCCTACGAACACTTGAATACCAGAAACTACAAGACAACTTTATCAACCTTATTTTGACAGCTGTCAATATAATGACATGCATGTCGAACATCCGCCAACATGAAGGGGCGGACGTGCGTACGTACGGACGATTTTGTCAGAAACAGAATTTCTTGGATGCATAAATAACCGAATTTTCTAACCCATGGTGCTGCGCTATGATAGTATTCAAAAGTTGCAAAGTTCTCGGGAAAAAAAAAACATACCTTTCCAAGATCCTCGATTTGATACCCAAGTACTGGCAAGGTTTCGAGTGCCACCACGTCCTACAATAGTTAGATAATAAAACAGCTAAGTTACGTGGCCTTTGATGAGGTCAGGGTACCTTCGACCTTCCTCTCATTACGCTTCTGTTTTTCTACAGCAAACTTAAAAGGTAACTCTCTATTTCTGCGGCCAGAAAGTCTATTCCACGACAAGTAAACGAGTGCTAAAATCGTCTAAAGCTGAATGACCAAATAGCTTTGAGGATTCTACAAGAACTTAAGTATAACTTAAAAAATGTAAAATATAACTAAGTATAAATAAAAAATAGTGTCAAATATGGACCTAGTATATGGCCTCGCTCTCTATGAGTTCTCCGTAGCTCAGTGAATAGAGCGCCCGCCCGGTGTTTGGGAGGTTATAGGTTCGAATCCTGTCGGGGTCTCAGATTTTTTCTTTGTCCAACGCTCGTGACATGCTGATTATTTCATCTTTACATTTGTTCACCGAGCTTAAAATTTACCGTCTTTCGTTCTTTCACCACAGAAATATATTTCTCAAAATATGTCATATAACGCAGCCGTCCCTTCTCACTCCTTAGTTACCCCACGGGATGTGAAGGAGAAGGTCTCCCGCGAAGCGTCTTCGGCGGCGAGGAGCCAGGAGTGAGGATGAGAGGAGAAATTGTAGTTATAAACCATATTACCTACCGAGCTGGCCTTGTATGAGTACAGTACATTGTCTTTAAGAACAAACCAGGACTTTTTCCAACCATGTCTTCCTTTCTTGAACCTTAAATATCCACTCATTTCAATGCCTTCCTGATTAGCTGCAACCTGAAGATACAAAAGTGACCTTTGGTCAGAGCAAAAAATCCCGGTCTAGGTTGAACTCCGGCAAATTTCATAGTTTCAAAAAAAAAACCTTCATAGCAAGTGGTGACACGCAGAAGATCTGGCAAAGAGGGTTCTTTTGAATCGTCACGCCATATCTTTTCATAAGCAGACTCAAAACTTAGCTTTGCAAGACACGTCTTCATACAATGTATTGACTTCCGGAGAGAGAAGGCTAACTTCAACGCTATACAAAAGCAATTCATTTCGGTAAGACTTTGACAATGACGACTGAGGGTCTCGTTTGTCGCGTCTTCACCGCTCACCGCTCGCGTAAAGCCCCCCAACCCCCCCCCTGCAAACGGACGTAATATTATTGGCCAACTACTCCCAAAATTGTTGGATAGTAAAGGTTGCGTCCGTTTGCACACCCTGTTGCCTGTTGTCGCGTGTTGTTGAGAGTTGTTACACAATGTTTGAAACCGGTAAAACTTTTAGCTACGTGCAAACGGCGCAACATTGCTGGCCAACAATGTTAGGAGTTGTTGGCCAAAGAATGTTGCGTCCGTTTACACGGGGCGTAATGCGCATTATATTCCACTACCTGTTACAATCAAGCCAACATGGTTACCTCTGTTAAGTGAGTTGGGTGTATTATCTGCGATTTCCTTTTCGTTCTTCTGCTCTTAAATCGCCGCATCATCTCAAACTTCGTGGGCTTTCGTAAAAGCTTGTCTGCTGCTTCTGTTTCTTGAAGTAATGGAGGTAGCGTTGCTGTTGTTTCTTCCTTTTCATCTGCATGTATCTCATGAGTGTGGAACTCTACAGTGGGGAAAGAATAACGCATCATACATAAAGTATAACCATGACTCGGCCCCAGTCACCTCGGCTCTCCTTGCAAGTAGAAAGAGGAGCACGGGATGATGAAACTAAGCAAAGGAGAGACGCTTTCGTTATTTTGCTTTCCAATTAATAGCGGGAACCGCCAGCAAATTCAGTGACACATAAAAATAACAGATTATAACATGAAAAGAAGTTATAATTAACACAGCAAATCAAGAGGAGGCACTGAAGGACAATCTTGAAGAAGATTGAAGCGGATTGCAGTTGTGGTTTTTTGAAACGTGTTAGCCTACCAGTTTCTCAAAGTTCCTTCTTGTTGCTTGTAACGTTTAATAAAATGCTTGGGAGACATTTACTTAACACAAAGCGGTGCTTTAGTCACTAACAAGGTATTTCTTAATTTTCACAGCGAAAAAAGATGCGTACGTTTAACAAAATGAACCAAACAGCCGTCACACAGCCAGTTTACGTCGTGCAATTTAACCGAATAACTGGGGGCTTAAGCAGCTACAACGACCATGACTGCGACAGCGGAAGACAAAACCCTTTGGACAACGCCTTCGACCGACGGTTTCACATCCGCGTGACGGACGTCGAGGTATCAGTCACCATTAAAGGCTTTGCTCAAAATTCCTTCTTTGCGGAGGACGTGGATACAAGAAGTTTGTAACAGGAACTACTGACACGTGACACACGGTGACGATACGTTGACACAATTTCCCTTTCTTTTAATCCATGTCTTAAAAATATCAGAGTTGGAACCATTGTTAGTTGCGTCCATAACATTGAAGAGTTAACGAGGACAAAATTCGGCGAGGGTTCGCTTCGATGGTGTATTTATAATGATTATTTAAACTTAGACAAAGAAGATTTCTAATTTCATCGAAAATGTAATTTCTCACGCCAAAGAATGGTAACCCACCTTTTAAAAGCAGATCATAACATTTGTCGCAGACTCTTGCCTCGGTGTAGTTAAGGTATGCTAATGGTGCAGTACTCTCTGAACACGATCCACACACAACCTGAAACAGATACCCTTCTCTTAATAAGAAATAAATAGCCGCCCCCTCCCCTCAAACAAATCTGAGGCGAGAAGGGGGTGGGGGCGGGGCGGCTGTACACAGGTTTTAATAATTTTGACAAGACTGTGGATAGCACGTGACAGAGATGCGTGGACACTGACGAAACTAAACTTCCGGTTAAGTCCGTCTGCGAACCAGCGCCGAAATCCTTGCTCTGAGTTCCCACCTGTGTATCAGGTTTTGAGTGCGCGCCATGGTTCTCCTCTTAAAAAAGCCACTGTTCAGTTGGCTTATCAGATTGAACGAAAATTCGAAAAGCCCTTTTAGTAATTCAATGAGTCCGTTGGGTACCAAGAACAAGGATAGCGTCGGTGCTTCGCAGACGTTACTAACCGAGGTTAGCCTGCGTCCATGACGCACGCTAGCGAGGCTTAGCGCCTTGTATAACCGATCTGACGGGAAAAGAAACAACAACCTCAAAAAAACAAAACGAATGTTTTACAGTCTAACTTAGAATCTGTATTACTTACATTACCACAGGCTCTGCAGTGGTGTCTTCTATTGGTGAGAGTAAACGGTGATGTGCAACTCATGCACATCGTTACACGAGCATCAGGGATCCACACAGGAGCCTTCTCACCGAGCTTGGTACCTTCTCCATCTTGTTCCGCCAGCTAAGCGGGAGACGAAAACAAAGCAACAAAATGAATGTATAGACAAGGAATGCACAGTATAACAGTATAAGTGGAACTTAATCACTATACCAGTTAATAATTTGTGTATTTATCAATACATATACTGCATATGTTTTTTATTATTACATGTCATTTTTTTTCAGTAAATTTTTTACACGGCTACTAAATTTCGCGTGTTTAACTTTCGCGTGGATTTAAATGCGCGGGTCTCTAATTTCGCTATTCTTTTACAATCGCGAAAAAGACGAAATTTAGAACCAGTAAGGTACATCGAAACCCAAAAACAATTAATAATTCCTAAAATCATAAATGCTTACCAGTCCGGCTGCGTCTCTTGTCTTGGCAACAAAAGTTATTTTCCTTTTTGTGACAACATCTATTGCGTTATTCAAAGCCTGCAAAGTTTATGGAATATTAGCAAAATTATAAAAAAAACAACAACAATAAAAAGCGAAGAATCGTCAAAAACGACGAGTGGTCTGTCTTATTACTTAGTCGGTTTTTTTTTCTGAGCGAAACGTACAAGATAAGAAATAGACCACGTTTGAAACTGACGGCCCAAGACGAGATAGGCGAGAAAATATATCCGTCTAGTGAGGCAGTGAAAAGTTCTTTTAAGCTTAGCATTCCTTCCGAACACATTGACTTATCCTAGCTTTTCGGGATGTGAACGGAATCCTATGGTGTTACCATTCAAATGAAACCTCTTCAGCAGCACTTTCACATGATTCTATACATTTAAAATGTAGTTCTAACTTTCGAGTCTGTGGATAAAATCCTATGGTGTTACCATTCAAATGAAACCTCTTCAGCAGTACTTTCACATGGTACGATACATCTAGTATCCCGATGTAGTTCTAACTTTTGACTCTATGAATAAAATGCTATGGTGTTACCATTCAAATGAAACCTCTTCAGCAGTTCTTTCATATAGTAGTTATTTTGCTCTGAGTCTCTGAGTCCAATAAAATGAAAACTACAGAGCAGTATTTTGCTGTGGTACTGCTCATTTTGCTGTACAAAGTGGTTCTAACTCTAAGGTATGTAGAAGAAATCCTCAAATAAAACCTGTTCGGCGTTACTTTCACATGGTACTACTTGTTTATCAACAAACTAAATTTTGTCCCTTAACGAAAGCGGAGAAAAACCTAAAAAGGATGCTTACCTCCACCCACTCATCCCGTTCCTCTGGAGTGCTGTAAACAAAAAAAACCACACGTTTCTGTTACATACCTCGGGAAAAAGACTCTTATACCAACGCAAACATCCATCCGGTATTGTATCCCGTTTATGGAAAAACAGCAATACCCTAAGACCTGAATTATGAGTATAAAGGACTAGCCAAGCTCTTCCCACTGTCATGGTGTTAACGTTTAAAAATACAGACATTTAAAGAAGATGTTGGATTTTGGACTCACCTCGCAGTGAGAGTGAACGACCTTGTAGTACTAATAATGCTGAATTCATTGACAAAATCAGGAGAATCTGGAACAGTCACCTAACAGAATGAAACATTAAGGTCAAACATCAAACCTCTGAGTTAAACGAAAACCAACCTTTTTGCTTTTGACTTTAAAGATTCTAGAATTTTTCTGTAATCTTTGGTTTAGCTTTCTGGCAAGTTCAGTTTTCTTTGTCTAATTTGAATACTTTGTATTGTTATGAAATTTCTCACGTAACTGGACTCTCTGTCTTTTCATAAATTCCAGTTCCTCTTTCTTGGCAACACAGGTATTAAAGTGGAATGCTTATAAAATCCGTTAGACTCATTTGTTATATGTTTTTGTTGGCTTTTTTGGACCCGAACGTGCACAACGTTCAATAGCATTCCTATCATTTTGAGCTTACTGATCAATAGAAACATGGCATTAATTTATTCAGTCACAATTTATGAACAAAAAACAAAGGATTGTGCAGGGTCAGGGAGCTTCCGACATAAACTTAAGCACCATTGTTTGCAACTTTGATGTTTGCCAGCTTTCATAACCAGTTTTAACGTGAGATCAGGCCCAATTTTAGCAGCTTCCATACATTCTCTCTTACGTGGTCGCGCTAAAACTGGCTTTCCCGCCAGAATTTATTAATGAAGCGAAACGGAAATATAGCCTGATCTTCGGTTAAACCAGTCTCCTCTTCTAACTATGTTGGCAATCACTTGTCGTCGTCGTCCCATGAAAGGTAATCCAGATAACGGAATCTGGGAATTTTGCGCTTGTGAAATTCGGAATCCTGGTCTTTGGAATTCGGAAATCAGTTCAAGGAATCCGAAATCCAACTAACGATTGGAATCCGGAATCCAAGTTCCACTGACGAGGAGTCCGCAATCCAAGTTCCGCTGACAAGGAATCCAAAGTCCAGTGACAAGGAATCCAAAGCGTGGAATCCTGAATCCAAGATTGTCTCGGATCACCTCACAAGGAGCGACACATGTCAGGATTGATTCTGGTGATTTTGTTACTAGACACGTACCTGCATTCCTAGAAGGGGAAGCATTTTGTTGAGTTTATACTGATTTGCTCCCATCGGTGTAGTGTATAACAACACATCTGTTAGCTAAAAATCATAATAAAAAATTAATGATGAATATGAAAGAAATCATGGTGAATTTCAAGTTTGAAACACCCATCACAGTTGTGAGGGCAATATAAGCAAGAGTCGTGAAATTATAACAGGGATTTCAAGAGCATAGAACAAGCTCGAAGCAATATTAGGGTTGTATATGTATGTCAGTTTTAGCTTGGTCTCACATACATTGGTCTGCCTCGACAAACCTATTAGATACGACATCGCGGTTTTTTACTTCGTTATTCGCTAAAAGCCTCGTGATTAGCCAAAAAACCGCATCTCACTTTCTTAACCAATGAGAATTAAATCAAAATCCTTCGTGACTACTTGCTCACGTCACTTTCCCGCGCTTCCCGTAGACTGCCGACTACAACTACTTGTTTTGAGTTTTCATTGGTTCATTGTGTTTGGACAGAGAGAGAGAGATTATTTTTGGTTATGGTAATCACTCGACGTTGCAAGTATTAGCCCCTCTGCCTTAAAAAATCTTGCAGCAAAATTATTCCACATTAAAAAGACCCTACGTTCGGAGCCCAGTTAATGTATTAGAAAAAAAAGGTAGTATACAAACCAGAAAGAACATTCTCTCCTGCATGTCTTTCCGGCATAACTTCATCAACATTCCTTCTTTAAGATAATCCTGTTGAAATAGCAAATACTGGTGAGCTGTATTACTGTCGAATCGAATCGGTAGTACTAAAACATGCAAGAAGGCCGATTTACAAGGTACGGCGATCGTCGTGTGCCATAAGCAAATATTACAAACGTAACCAGCAATGGTCGTAAAATGTGTCTGTTCTGTGTAACGATTATGCAAAATTTGAAATAAAACATTTCTAGGGGAATTCCAAGTATTGTGGTTATTTACATTAAAAAATGTGAAAGAGCACTGCATGAAAATAGCGTACTGGCCTCGTCTTAGTTTTATGTTTCTTTGTCTCTTATGTGGTTTTCTGGTCCTGTACTGAAGTGGGTTCATGCACCACAGGCTAATTCTATTTAGTAAAATCCAGCTCGTGGTCTGTTATTAATACTGCGTTCTGATAGGTTGAGCTACTACTGGGCTATATGTCATAGCCCACTAGTAGCAAAAAGCGCCGGTTTTTTAGCGGTAAAAAAGGATTGAAGTCTTGCTTTAACTAGCTAAAGTTGTTTTGTCTCGATATTTTTTACCAACTAGTTGGATTTTACTAAAACAATTATTCCTCTCGCCCTCATGGCCTCTCAGTCAATAGCTCGTTCAGCCTTCGGCCTCATAGGCTATTGACTCAGCTCATTCGGGCTCGAGGAATAATTGTTAAATATCCTCATACTCTGAGCTTAGGCTGCCTGTATTATATTAGAGACCTTAAGATTCTAAGACAAGGATGACTACGCGGACACGATTTTCTCAACACTAAGTAGTGCGCACGCGTGAACCAGCGTCATTTTGGCGGGAAAACGTCATAGCCGTCGTCATTCTTGAGAAATTGTAAATGCCGAGACTAGGAATGTGTTCGAATAACTTGAACATGAAATTTTATTGCCTGACGAGGCTCGAAGAGCGAAATATATATCGAGGATTTTAAAACTTCTAGAACACTTTTATTTTTACGTTTTACATTCCGTATACGTGCGTCGAATGTGGTAAAGACGTGATGTCTTATTTTACAAGTAGTTCACGTCGTCATTCTACTACAGGTTTTAGCCAGAATCAGACTAGTACCCAGCCACTTCTCTTGTTTGCGCGATGATTGGTGGGAAGGTTTAAGCGAGTTCGCGTTGCAATAAGGGAAGGAAGAAAGAAAAACGGGAAGCCTTGCGCGCATTTCCCAGATTTCATCAGAGACGAATGGGTACGAGTCTCAGCCAGAATGTCGTAGTGGCGGAAACAAGTGATCATATGTTAGAAGTTTTATCATTTTGCGACCGGGAGAGGGCTTAACCTCCAATAAACTTACAGTGCTAACTTTTCTGGTGAATCACATTTACAATGAAGTTTTCAGGGGTGTCTATTTTCTGACTTTCCGTCAAATCTCGTACTCGTAGTCGTTCTCGTTCACGAATCTTAAGGTCTCTAATAACACAAATTACGTTGTCCAAATCAAACCTACCCGTCCAGCTTTCACTATCTCTGGATTTCCTACAAGCATACTTTGCAGTTTTAACAGCTGCTCAAAACTATCCTATTAAAAAAGGAAGAAAATGGAAAATGAAAGTATGGGCATTACGACTGATTGATCATCAAAGACAAAAAACAAAGAAAGCTTGTCTCCGATGGTCTCTAATGTGAACACACCCGTTTTTTCAAGTTCCCACGCCGGAATTAGGGCACAAAAGTGGTCACCGGGTCCCTGGGTACGTCGGTTATCTGTAAGTTCCGAGGCCATCCAGAGCTTTGAATATCCATAACCTCCTACCACGCATAAGTTTTAAAATGGCGTCTGACAAGGCGTAATGGAGTAACTATACACAGTTTCATATCGGGCACTCAAGGTGTGAACACCACACCATTTTGTGCTGGTACCCTGGCACTACTGAACCAAGAGTGAACATAACCTAGCCTCCCTGGTATTATAGAGGATGGTAGAGACACTTTTGTAAAGCAGACTGACACTTATGGCGCTACCACCTGCTATTTTTCAACCACATTTGTTTTCGGACTCGTTATAGGGCAAGTACATACCATTTTCTTCATGGACTCATTTATGTGTGTTGCAACTTCCGAAACAATCTTCAGTGTAGCTGTTAAACGTGAACAATACAGAGGAAGCTCAGAAATATATCTAAACAAAATCACTTCCATGTGCCCCTATTAGGCTAGACTGCAAAACAGTCGGTTTTTTTCTCAAAATCAGTAAAGAAATCGGTAAAGCGCGGGGTAAGAGTCTTGCGCGCGTCTCTCACCAGTCTCGCTCTCTGTTTTCAGCCTCGTTCCAGACCTTTTGTTTGACTGCTCGCGCGTACTTGAGTACGCAACAATACTAACTGTCTACAGTTTGCAGTCTACTATTAGGCAGGATTTCACTAGAGACGAGGTGTTAATCAGTAGCACAGGGCGTTATGATCTATTGGAAACAGAGTCCCACTTTCCTTATGATAACCAGCCTGAAAGTGAATTTGGTGAAAACTACGCGTACCAAAAGTAATTCCAAGCGAAAAAATACTAAATCAGTTACACGGCCCCTGAGAATTTGCATTTTCACTGGTTTATTCTTCCGCTTCTGCTTCAAACTCCGACAATTTGGTTTTAGCTATATCATAAGTAACGGAATCATACGAAGAGTCGGAAGAAATTGGAACATTCTAATTCTTGTGACTCCGATTCCGTCGAGCTTATGGCTCCGCTTACAACGACTCCGATTGAGCCATAAGCGCTCTTATGACTCCGACCCAGTCGCTAGTGAAAACTAATGACAATAAATAGGGGATTTCTGTTTGACTTCAGTGATACAGGTGACAAGTTCTCATCTCTATGGAACCTCTGTCTATGTCTGTCTAAAACATAGCGCCAAGGAGACAGCTTGGCTGAGTGGTTACTGCGCTGGACTTGTAATCCGGAGGCCCGGAGTTCAAGTCCTATCCTGACCGCTTGTTCTCGGTAGTTCCAAGTTCAAATCTTCGGCCACGCTTGTGAAATTGTCAACAGATACAACTCCTACCAGTTGGTATTCTTAGCCTTGTTACATTCCACTTGAATTTATTTATTTGTTTTGTTATCCCTGAAAAGCCCCATAAGGGGAGACGATAATTAAAGTATTCGTTTATTCTATTTATCCTTCGACACAACGTGTGAGATTTTCAGGTTATTTATAGATTAATCATTTGCGACCAAAAACTTTTCAGCCAATCAGGACAGGGAAGGAGACGATTCCAGTAGTGAAAAACAAAGCTAATTTCGCGGCAAAAAAAATAAAAGAACATTCTAACGGACGCTGACACTTGACTAAGAGATAGCAGATAAGGGCTTCGGCGAAGGGTGCTCCTCTACGTGGCTATAGTGATGCACTTGGGTTTCAAAAATGTTGACTACATGGGAGGTGAATTCCCAAGTCAGCATGTAAGGGCAACAGTGGCAGTTGCCATTGGCGAACTACCAAGCGAGCAGAGGCACTTCGATTTTGCCTCATCTAGGGCTGCCTCTAACAGATTTAAGCAAGGCCATTTGAGAAAAAAGGGGTGAATTAACAAGCAAGGCAGGAGGTATCACAAGCTTACTTTCTGTGTCCTTAAATTCCTCTGAATCCTTCGGTAAGTGCTTAAGGTAGTCTGAAAAATAACAATAATCATAACAAAGGGAATAATTAAATCACAAATACAAATACTGGACCTGAAAAGACCTACAGCGATATTATCACCAGTGAAACTATTCCTAAAAGAGAATTAAGTCCCTCCTCAAAAGTATGACTTGCTTTGTGCTTATAGTCAAAGAGATAAAAGGATAACAAACGATAGATAGAATAGTCGAATATGAGCAGCAAGAGCTTTGAAATCTAAGAAACGTGACTTACTGACGTATTTTTCTTGGCTTGTAGGCAAATCCATTCTCATTTGACATTACCCCACCGCAAACGAAGAGATTCTTCGGCACAAAAATCTCGGCTAAACCAAACTAAAATACCCGTTTCTGCGTCTAATTTTACCTCGAAGTGTCTGGAATATTAAGAAATTCACGCTTGGCTTATGGTCAAATAACAACGAGTTTTTCGCAATTAAATTTTACCATAACAACTAGCCTGCGTAGCTGACGGTATTAGCGGCGGAGTGCTCTTGATTTTTGGCGGAAGAACCGCGAGAAGTTTGGGAGAAAGAAACTACCTCCCCGTCAACCCTGTCAAGGCTACAAAACCACGAAAGTCTAACTCACCTATTAGAAGAAGTCTGTAGCTTGGAATCCGCTGGACAGGTTTCAGCATGTACGAGGACAGAATTAATCCATGACATCTTTCACTGTTCTAAAGTTAAAGAACAACTTCAATTGTGCTTTAAATCGAAGTTTATCAAATCTCTTGTTTTGGAATGTACGGAGTTCAAATTGAGTTGTACAAAGTTCAGTCGAAAATATGGCTGAAAGCCATAAGCTTAGGTTAATCTTTTATTTGATAAACAACTGGGATATAGGTTCACTTAAACACGATCGCACTTTAAAATTTCAAACACAGACTCAAAAAATAGAATGATTTTGTGCAGAATAAGAAACAGCACCATAGAAAAGTAATGCTCAGACGCTTTAATCTGAACGGAAAAAACTTCAGGATTTCGTCTTCAGACTGAAAAGATAGAACTATATTAAGTACACATTTACAAAAGTGCTTAAAGTGCTTCTCTTCGTTAAATTCTGTATCAGATGAGTATACATGTACATCTAAGGCGCTTACAAGCGTTTGTAAACTTCTGCGTTTTTGTAGCCTATATTTTTGCTCTTTTTTGGCACCAATTTCAACTTGCTAAGTTTGCTTGATGTAAGGCGCTTTTTCCAGCAGAATAGATGGATATTCACTATCGATAAGTTGAAAAAAGATCTGTTATCAAGGAGTTCGATAATATACTATATTGTTCTACTGTAAGTGATCACAAAAAAGCCTATCATATCTATCATACCTGAAACTGTGTGACTAACTTGGCAAACTCAGGATTTTCCTTCATTGTTTCTTGAAACACACTCATGGCTTTATCATAACCATTCACATACTGGGTGTACATCTGAAAGAACAATAATTTTTACAGTTTTGTTTTTCTTTCTTTTTTTTGTATACAAATGTTGCGTTAGCCTTCAAATTCTACTGGTACTGGAAATCAACAAACAAGTTACTCATCAATACCGTTAAATGACGGTTTCCATTTTTGGTTGTTTGTTTGTTTTCTATTTTTTTCTACAAGAACATTTTAAAAGCTGTTATTTCCATAAGCTGTTATCATCTGAACATTTTCAAACCAACACTGAACAAAGTTGTTAATCAGACATCCTTCGTTGTTTCAACGATTTGCACTGATCAATACAGAAATAACATTATTTTTTAATGCCTTTCCTACGTTGTAAAAGACCACTACATCAACCTTTTGGGTGAAGTTTTACTCCATGTCAGAGCAAAAAGTACCGAACAAAAACAACAGCAACAAAGAGAAAAAAACAGCTCAGTGTAACGCTCCTTGAGTGAACTCAAGGTTAAATGAAAAAACCCAGACAGAGGGAAAACTAGGTAAAAAGAAAAAAAAATTCTGTAATTATATACCTTCAAGAAGTGTCCGTATTTCTTGATAATATCCCCAATTCTCTCATGTTCCTCCCTATTAAGAAAAAAAGCGGAAAATTAATAAAGTCGCAACTGCCCTTGATTTTTAAAATAATCTACGATTTTCTTCTCTTTTTTTTTCATTACCATGTTGCCATTCTTTCTTCCAGTTCCTGAAGGAATCTTGAATCAAGCAGATAAATGTTCTCTAAATCCCTGAAGATGTCGCTAAGCACGGTTTCCGCCACCACATTAGCGGTCTTGATGGTACCATAACATTCCTAAAAAGAAATAATAATTATGAAGTTTAGTCAACGAGTAACGCTGCATTATTTCTTACACCTTACTGAACACAATTTACAGTTACATCACAACGCCTGCTGGCTACTTCAATTTTTTATTGAAAGTCCCGAACACATACCTCAAACACAAGTTTCAAAGCATCAACAAAAGTTCGCTCGGTGGAAAGAATTTCATGTGCAATGTGATGTGTCTTAGGTTTGGAAGGTCCCTACAAAAATAGGTAAGATATAACAACAAAAAATGTTACATAAGAAAGCAATAAATAAAACGTACTGCACAATATGGTCATTATGTAGATTGGATTTGAACATGCCGTCAACTTCAGATTATGAGCCCCCGGCTTATACAACTTCGTAAGGGGTTATAAACAAGGGGAGGAGGGAGGGGGGTTCATATCTGGGGAGCCTACATGACTGTATAACCGAACTAAAAATGTGTTTCAAAACAGTCTATTTTGCAGTGCTGATCAAAGTACCTTTTGAATTTACCCGCTTTTTTTAGCTTCAAAACATCGTAAAAAATCGGATTCATTTTAACACAAACTACAGGGGGGCTTATAGCCAGATGTATTTTCTGCTTAAAGGGAAGAACTGGGGAGCTTATAAAAGGGGGGAGGGGCTTCTAAAAGGAGGGGCTTATATCCCTGGGGGCTAAAAATCGGATGTATTTTTTTGTTTAAAGGAAAGATGGGCCCATAACTAGGGGATTTATAAGGGAGGGGGGCTTATAAACGGAGGGGCGTATATCCGAGGGGGCTTATGGCAGGATGTATTTTTTGGTTTAAAGGGAGGATAGCCCGATAACGGGGGAGTTTAGAAGTGAGGGGGGGGAGGGTGTAAAGACGGAGAGAAGCATATCCGAGGGGGCTGATGACTGGAAGTGTTGAGGGGCGTACTGGGGGGGTGGGTCATAATATGGGAGCAAGGGACGTATATCCGAGGGGGCTTATGACCGGATGTATTTTTTTGTTTACAGGTAGGTGGGCTCATAACTGGGGAGCTTATAAGTGTGGGGGGAGAGGGCTGTATAGGCGGAAATTTACAGTACCCTTCACATTTACCCATAAAAGTGTTACAGAACATTTCTGGCTCATTATCTTTCTTTTGTGCTGTGTGAATAGTATGTCATAATGTCAAGTTAACATGCACTATACTTGGTCCGAATCTTGATGTTTTAGTACCTTTTTGTCTTTATTATTACTAACAGGGAGTCTTTTTTATCGACCAGACTCGGGTTGGTCAAATGCTAGATAACACTATCCACTGGATAAATCACTATGCAGCAGGTAAGAGTTGGGGAAAAATAATTAACAATTATTCCTCAAGCCCAAATGGGCTCTGAGCCAATAGCCCATGAGGCCGAAGGCCGCATGGGCTACCGACTCAGAGGCCATGAGGGCGAGAGGAATAATTGTTTTAGTAAAATCCAACCAGTTGGTCAAAATATCGAGACAAAACAACTTAACTAAAGCTAGACTTAAATCCTTTTTGCAGTCAAAAAGCCCGTGTTTTTCACTACTAGTGGGCTATAACATATAGCCCAGAAGTAGCTCAACCAACCAGAATGCATCATTGATAATAGACCACTAGTTGGATTTTACTAAATTGCATTATCCAGTCAACAGAGATTTATACAGTGGATAGTGCTATCCCTTTTGATACCCTCTTAATGTACAGTGATTCACAGCTGTGATGATACTCACTTTTGGCGTCTCCACTTCACCTACATCAGAATCAGAGTCAGATTCCAGACCAGGAGTCAAAGGAGGAGCAAAAGGAGAATCTTGACAGATGGCAATACTTATTCTGACCGGATCAGGAGGTGGCGGCCGAGGTGGAGGGGGCACTTTACGTTTAGGAACATCATCTTCTTTGCTTTCTGTCACAGATACCTCCGAAGATGATGGTAGCACTGAGGATGAGGAAGTATCAATGTTTGTCTGAAGAGCATTTACACGGTTTCGTCTGACCGGGACAGGGGAATTAGTTCCTTGTGATTCTGATTCAGTCTCTGTCTTCTGCAATGAGCTCCTCGGTAAAGGACTTGGTGATCCTTTTTTCTCAGGCGTAGAAGCTCCAGAACCCGTTTTGGAACCCTGCCTTGGAACAGGACTTGGTGAACCTTTATTCTCTGGTGTCGATGATCCAGAAGCCTCTGTTTTGGAACTTCTTCTTGGTACAGGGCTGGGTGAGACTTTCTGCTTGTTAAGCTCTTGCATTGCATCATCAACAGCTCGTGTCCTCGGGGCTGGTCTGGGGACCTCTTTTATACCAGCCCCCTCCCCTAGAATTTTCTCAGTCTTATCCTGGTCAAGACAGAGACTAAGTCTCGGTGGTTTTGGTGGTGGGACTACTGAGATCTTTGCTGATACTGTCACATCGGCATTCTGCCTGCCAGGAACAACATAAATGTTTCGCTCATCCTGTGGTGTCATTGTGGCCTCTGCAATTGACTGGTTGGGAAATGTTTCAGCAGGGACTGGTGTAGGCATACCCGGCACAGCATATATCGCTCCCTGTTCATCTGATTTAAGTCTGTCCACCACTGCACTGACTTGGACAACAATAGGTTTTGGTACAGCATAACCATTATCTCTGTCTATGCGATGGGTTGGAATGGTATGAGGCACACTATACAGACATGAATCACCATCAGTGTATCTCTGAACTGGCACCACCTTACTTGGTACCCTGTAAATGGCTTCATCGTCAGATACACGCTGGACCGGGCGTGGGAAAGATAACACAGTAGTCTCATACTTACTAAAAGACTGAGTCCTTCTAAGAGAATTGTCCCTTTTCTCATTGTCTGTTTGTGCATTTCCTCCATGCAATGAACTAAATATCTCGATATTTTCATAAGTACGCTTTCCTTGCGGCGTTTTGCGACTCCTTCTTGCAGGAGGTATTGGCTCAGGGGAGGACGGTGATTCTGGTTTACTGTCATCTTTGACTTCTTGTGAATCAGCTACTAATACATCAACTCTTTCCAGAGGTACAACGTCATCTTTTTTACGATCTTCGAGTCCTTCAATAGAATTATTACTAAGATCATTTGCAGTGCATGTTTCTGCCGCAGAGATGGGAACCTTTTTGTCTGATTCCGGCTTCACCAGACCATCTGAGTCTGCAAATGAATCTGTATTTTCTGAGCTATCTTTTTCATTGTGTTGTTCATTAACCACCTCATCCCTTGGTGCTTCTTCAATATTTGGCTCTATAAAAACATCTTTGGACTCTCCTCTTTCAGGAGGGCTTTCAGTCAAATCAACTCCTGATTGTCCAGCATCACTACTAATGTTCTCTATTCCTTCACTGACTTCTTCTAGTGGTTTTTCAGAAACATTCTGTACAACATTACTTGTGCTCTCAGACAGGGAACTACTCCACTGAGATTCTTCCTTTACTTTAACAACGCCTTCATCAGTGCTCAAAAATTGATTTCCTTCTTCCGCTATTTCAACACTACCCCTAGAAACTGTATGGTCACTAACTGATGAAAAGAACTCCTCTTTCACAGGCTCAGCTATGATTATGTCCCTATTTTCTTCCACAGCGTGCAGCAGTGAAACTTCAGGTGTACCATTTGCAAGCACCTCTGTTTGTAGATCTAAATTATCTGACTGGGTATCATATTTTGGTTCAAAATTCTTGCATTTGTCATTGTGAGTCTCATCAACAGGCATTTCACCATCAAAAATGTCCTCTTGGGTACCTTCATGCTTGTTTGAAACAAAGTCTTGACCACATGCCTGCAAATCTTCAGTGGGTTTCTCAACCTTAACATCACAAACATAACCTTCACTTTGAACAGTAACTGAATGTGATGGCTCTGTGGATAAACTATCCTCGAGTACTTCTTCACTTTTTTCAGGATAAATCACATTTTCAGCCTCATTACTGAATTCAGTCACAGATTCAGCTTCTTTACCTCCTTCCGTTGCTGTGACATCAAAAAGTTTTTGCTGGACATCAGCATCATCAACCATTGATACAGAGCACTCCTCTTCAAGCACAAGACTAAACACGACCTTAACATTTTCATCAGTACCTGCTGGTATTAATTCACTGCCGCCCCGATCTTTCAAAACAACACCCGCATCATCTGTTGCAGCTGCACCATTGACCTCCACTGAGTCAGACTCAAATTTGCTCCTTCTCTCTTTGTCAGATGAAACTCCTTCTCCTTCACCATCGCTCATAAAATCAGCTTCTATTTCAAGCCCTTCAAGGGGGTCTGGGGACTCCTTTCCTGAATTACATTCTGCAGGAAAACTGTAAAAAGTTGATCTGGCATGTACAGAGGCAACGCCATTTTGACACACTTCACGTTCATTGCTAGCATTCACAACACAGGTAACTTCTTTATCATCTGCTTCAACTCTGGTAACAGTCGCACTAGAATTTTGCTTTCCTGATTCTGTTTCTACCTTTGTAGCAGAGGCACTTGGTGTTTGATCGTGATCCAAAGACACAAAAAACTGAGATGCCCTCTTAGCATCAGCACTTTCACAAGGGACAGTGTTATTTTCCTTTTCCAAGTTAACAAAAAATTTTGAGTCATGATCAGCAGACAAACTGGAAGTGGGCATAGAAGGTGCTGAATCGGCTCTTCCTTTAGTTGTCTGATCCTTGCCTTGTTCATCACTTTTCATGCTATCACCAGCAGGAAGTGAAGCTTTCTTTGGAACATAGTTCTTTGGTTTTGGAGGAACTGGAGGTCTTGGCTTTTTACCAACAGGAAGACAATGTGCATTTGTAGGCACTGTGGCTTTACGACCAAGAGAGCTTACCCTTTTTGGGGGAGCTGGTTTTACTGGTTTCCTCTTCTGTGCTTGAGCATCATTCTGTGGTGTTGAAGAGCTGGTACTGCTCGGGGGTTTTACAGGGATTATTGATGGGACGTTTTCTTTACTTTCTGTACATGGACTTAAATCTCCGGCCTGCTTGGGAGTCCCATTTTTTTTGTATTTCCTTGGAGGGGGGACAGGGGTAGATGAAGACCTTTGTTAGAGAAAAAAAAAAGTTTAACACAAATACAAAAAGCCTTTATGCACATTGAGGATGACAATTCTCAAACCAACGTGAGCATGTGATGTTATGTCTCTAATTTAGCAAAGTTTGACACCATAAAGTCTGTAGTTATAACTCACATGACATGCATGTAGCACAGTCTGAAATAACTAACAAAAAACCTAACGATTGCATAACCATGTATGCAGTTTCTCCACAATGCTTTCTACAGCATTTACAATGTATTGCTGTTACTTTATAGTGGAGAGAATTTCTTTTTAAAACACAACTCTCACTAGGAGTCACTGACATGCATGTATGACCTTTGATGACTACCGTTGAATAAAGTAAGATTCTATTCACTCCCTGGAGTAAAGAAATGGTTACTACATGTAAATTAATGAACAAAATTATTAGTACTTGTACCAGATCTATCTGTAGCTCACAATCATTAAAATGTGGAATACATCCAAGAGGCTTCAACCTAGGTTAATTGTCTCAGTATACTGACATTAATGTTACTGATACACAAAATTTGGCTTTTTGTATGTGCAAGTTCAAAGTACATTTATCATTCATGCACAGATCACACAATACAACACACATGGCCTGACTAGAGCTCAAATTCCACTTTCTTTTGAAGAAGGCAAGATGGCAGCAAGAGAATCACAACAAACAATTCACATAGATCTACTCAAACAGGGCTGTACTCTAGCAGAGCCCGGTGGCTCCTGGTGCCTATAAACTTTTGCTTTTGGGCAACTGGAAAATCTTACTTTCTTCATATTGATCATATGCTGGGCACCCTAGATTTTACAGGTTCAGAGTACTGGGTTCCTTTCAATTCTCCTTAGAGCACAGCCTTGTCGAAAGTAAGTTATCAGATGCATATTGTTTTCTGGAAACAAATGGCATCTTTTTATAGCTTCTGATTACCAGGCACTGTGAAATTCGTCTACAGGGCTGTTTATGCGGAGGCATTAAGTTCCTAGCGACAGGAAGATCCTAGACGGCAGAACAAATTTTTGTTGGGTTCACTTACAGAAATTTTGGTTTGTATGGTTATCAAAAAGAGATGGCATTATTAAAGATGGAGGGTGACAGTAGTTAACATGCAATTTGGGTCCTTCTGCCCTGGTTAATAACAACCTTTCAGCAGCAACTGTCACTGCTTTACAACTTAGTAACAGGAAACAGAATTGTTGGCCTTTATTGCTGTGATTACCTATATTGAACGACCTGCTGCCAGTTTTGTCCGGTTTGTCCCTAAAACTAGAATCTTCTTAACAAAAGCAGTTTATATGGTGCTAGGATCTTCCTCGTGCTAGGAACTTCCTGCCTCTCAGCAGGGAAGATTCTAGTACTTACTAGCAAGTTCCTAGGGCTAGGGACAAGTACAACCCTTTGCATGTAAACCAAATACAGAAAACATATGGCGCAAGGATGATCCACCTTCTAGGATCCTCCTGGAGCTAGGATTTTCCTCTCTCCAAGTCAACAGCCTTTGAGGCCCACAGCTAACAAGACAGTAGCTCTTTATCATCTAGAATCATCTTGTAATTAATAAAATGTGTAAATGCCAGGCAACTTACTTTGTAACGGTATTATTGTCATCGCATTTGTTTCCTACAAAAGAAAGTCTTTCTTAAATACTTGAAGCAGGTCTATTTTTCTTAAATATAAATAACCAGAGATCAGACTACATTTCTGTATTACTTGAATGAAATGAAAAGAAAATTTTCTGTGGCCACGTAAGAGAAATGCGAGAGAGCTGCTAAAGAATGATATTGGCTGATCTCAGGCTATTTTAATAAATATCTCCTAACATTTATGCCTGGCTTAGGCATTGCTGTGGAAGCCTAAATCTGAAATCTGAGAGTAATCTTAACCACATGAATATCAGAGACACTTTTTGGGAAGCAAAATCGATACATAAACCTTTACCATTCTTAGTTATTTGTTGATCAGCAGGGGAATCTGCACACTGCAGACTAGTACAGGGCAAAACAGTTTTTATTTCCCAAAAAAATTTAAACAGTTAAGTCCTCATCATCCTTTTGAAGTACTCTCACAAGATTAAACATGTCTGCCGCACAAATTAACAAGTAATACTGAGTACACTATAAACTTTATAAGGCCTATAAATCAATTCTTCAATGAAACCAAAATTGCCGTAAGAGGAACATGAATGTACTTTCAGTTTGACGAACGATTAAATAAAATTTACGATGGTTATTTCGAAGCTGATGACTCCGTAGACAATTGAATTTGATACTCTATACCTCTTATTTGAAGGTGACAAGATTATAGCATTTATTAATAACAAATAATTTCCGAAATACTTTTGTCCACGGGAAATGTAAGAAACCACGCTTAAAATCAGGGTAGAAAACGTTGAGATGAAGGGGGAAAAAAAGGAAAAAGAAGTACTTGAATAAGACTACAGTTAGGATCGTGAGAGTTATGACATGACGCTTTGACACTTGAAGTTAATTCATAAAGTTGCAATTACATATGCCTCACCGATGAGTTCTTCGCGACTTTTTTTCTTCGGCGGAGGGCTTTCTCCAACCACCGACTGCCTCGCTGCAAATCAGGCAAAGTAACATACACAAAATAAAGGCATCAAAATACAAGCCAAAAAGTAAACGATTTGAAACGTGATATTGATCAAGGCTTCCATCCGACGTGTTGACAAGCGAGGAGGAAATACACAAAGCCCAAATGTATTCCTGTCTTTAAATATGTCTCAGACATGTAAAGACACATCTAAGAACGTATTCTGCGTTAAGATAAACGGTTTGGCCTGCAAACCAAATTTACATCAGTGGTACTAAAACTGATCTAAGCTCGAGTCAAAAGAAACACCCCCCAAACATTTGTGCTACTCCCCAAGTTAGGTCACGAATTGGACAAGTGCTATGTGTTTTTTACCTTCAAAAGCTTTGGCCTTCTCCTTTACATTCATCTCTTTCGATGTAGAAGATAAAAAGCATACTAGCTAACATGTGCGACTTTCACATGCTTTGTCTGAAACGCTAATAATACATCTTTTCGTATGATAAACTCCAGTTCATCGCCAGGAAATACATCTCACTTCCTCTGCGGAGAATTTGATCACATGATTTGCATACTGTAAGCCGCTGACCTTTAGTACCGTGTGAGTCTCCCGAATTGGCAGAAATTCGAAAATACGCGGGTAAATTCTTATTCTTTTACTGAAAAAGAAGGTGAATATAATTCTTTTTTGAAAAATCTTGGATCAAGAGAAAATCATAACAAAAACTGAAGCACCTGAGACCTCACTTTAGAACTCTTTACTGTCTGTACTGGCCGCAAAACTTTGACGGAAACCAAGGTATAAATAAACAACAAACGCCGATTTTGATATTTTTCGGGGAAAGAATTTTCAGTGGAGGAGCTTTCCTTCCTTTTATGGTTCAAAAGGCTTTCAGAAAGTGATTCCCTAATCAGTTTTTGACAGGTCTCTGATTATGATACCCTAGCCGGAATTCGCCTAGTTTAGCTGGATAATCCGCCAAAAAAGCCTCTTTCGGAAGCAGATACTTTTTTTTAAATATAACCCGCTTAAAAATATAACTTGATCATGACTCCGTCAATACAACGGGAAATTGCCTTTTAAAAAAGTTACAGCGCATCC